AATATACGCCTACAATCTTATTTATAACAAATAGAAGAAAAATTACCAATAAATATGTCATATAAGTTTATAGATGTTATTATAATATAGTTCCAGTGCTCTTATGACGTCATGACTTAATTTAGGCAAGGTTAACTGTCAAAATAACTTGATTTAAAATTGACCTCTTCACAATAGAATTCAAAAATGAAACAAGGGATGTTAAAAAAATATTCAATGATTTCTAACTATTTTCAAAAATAGCTCATAGAATAAAAAACAGTATGTACACTGGCAAATATCTCTATTTATACATGTATAGATTTCTTTGGTTTTTCTATAGCATAAACACACGAAATGAATTTCTACAAAAATATACAATTACACACACCTGCTGTCACAATGAAACTGTATCAAGAAAAATTAAAAGGTGCTACACCCTACCCTGTACGAGGGTTGACAACGATTTAGAAAAAAGTATAGATTTCAGACTCAATAATTTAGAAAATCAATATGTACATCATATAAAATTAATTACAACACAAAATTATGGCAGACTAAATGTATGCTAAAGAAAATTAATATTCACAGGGTGAATTAACTCCGTTATCTCTGTAACTCTGTACGACACCCCGCATCTGAAATGTATGGCGTATGGTAATCAATATATTAATCAGGATATAGTGGAAAATTTTCAAAAATCACACTCAAAAATGTCTGTTTTTCTATCGCATTGAGTTGAGCCTGACCTGCATTCCCAAACCTTCCTTACAGGTTCGACTTATACCACAATACAATGACCAGAAATAGTCTTTTTGTGTGCTGATTCCAAAGTTTAGTTTTTCTCTTATACAATTTTAAATCTCTAAATATTATCTCTATATCTAACGAAATTGTAATCCTAAACATTTAAATCATTATATTGCAATGGAAATATGATTACTACCTCAATTTAGAATTGCTGGTATAGTACGTCTGTTTACAAGATTACAAAACATACGTAGGGATATATTGAGAGGAAATCAGGAGCAGATTTGAACTCTACAATCAGCACAACTTAAAGCAGATGTAAAAAACCTTCTAAATCAAAATTTATCTTTTCAAAATAATTTCAAGACCTTTTTGAAAGCGCTTTTACTTCTCCACTACACATTAAATAAATTACACTGAAAGAAATATACAATTATATACAAATAAAATTAAAAATTAAATACATTTACATAATTCTTGGTATCATTGGTAAACTGCTTACACATTTTTTTAAATTTAAAATGCGTACTTTTAATATTAAAAATTCATAAGTATTTAGGGTACATTCATATTCCAGACATCGATATAACATTCTTCTATTTCTTTTTTATAATGTTGCTATAATTTAATGAAGACACGCTAGCACAAAGGTTGTGATAAACAATATGCACCAAAGTCTCTATAAAATTTCTTCAATAATACTGTTTCTGTGTGGTATCTCAGATTTTTCATACAATTTGACAGAATTGAATTGTTACAGATCAGCCAGTATCTGAATTAGAGGAAACTCTTTTTAAAAACGTAGTTCGAGGGTCTTAAAATGAAGAACATGTACTTGTACAAGAAGAAAGAAGACTACAGGATTGTCCAAATGCCCTAGTATCGAGCCTAAATAATATACAAGATATTAAACGATTGAGGAAAATGTGACCTAGTGATCTAAATAAAATAGATCTTTAAAACAGTAGTCACAGAAGCTTAGGATGAAGAAAATATACTGGTACAACAAGAAATAAGACTACAGGATTGTCCAAATGCCCTACTATCGAGCCTAAATAACATACAAGATATTAAACGATTGAGGAAAATATGACCAAGTGATCTAAATAAAACAGATCTTTAAAAAAAGTAGTCCCAGGAGCTTAATATGAAGAATATATACTGATACAACAAAAAAAAGACTAAAGGATTGTCCAAATGGCCTAGTATCGAGCCTAAATAACATACAAGATATTAAACGATTGAGGAAAATATGACCAAGTGATCTAAATAAAAGCGATCTTTAAAAAGTAGTCCCAGAAGCTTAAGATGACGAAAATAAACTGGTACAACAAGAAAAAAGACACTACAAGTGATCTAAATAAAACAGATCTTTAAAAAAGTAGTCCCAGGAGCTTAAAATGAAGAAAATATATTGGTACAACAAGAAATAGGACTACAGGATTGTCCAAATGCCCTAGTATGGAGCCTAAATAACATACAAGATATTAAACGATCGAGGAAAATATGATCAAGTGATCTAAATAAAACAGATCTTTAAAAAAAGTAGTCCCAGGAGCTTAATATGAAGAATATATACTGATACAACAAAAAAAAGACTAAAGGATTGTCCAAATGCCCTAGTATCGAGCCTAAATAACATACAAGATATTAAACGATTGAGGAAAATATGACCAAGTGATCTAAATAAAAGCGATCTTTAAAAAGTAGTCCCAGAAGCTTAAGATGACGAAAATAAACTGGTACAACAAGAAAAAAGACTACAGGATTGTCCAAATGCCCTAGTATGGAGCCTAAATAACATACAACATATTAAATGATCGAGGAAAATATGACCAAGTGATCTAAATAAAACAGATCTTTAAAAAAGTAGTCCCAGGAGCTTAAAATGAAGAAAATATATTGGTACAACAAGAAATAGGACTACAGGATTGTCCAAATGCCCTAGTATGGAGCCTAAATAACATACAAGATATTAAACGATCGAGGAAAATATGATCAAGTGATCTAAATAAAACAGATCTTTAAAAAAAGTAGTCCCAGTAGTTTAATATGAAGAAAATATACCGGTACAAAAAAAAAGACTACAGGATTGTCCAAATACCCTAGTATCGAGCCTAAGTATCATACAAGATAATAAACGATTGAGGAAATATGACCAAGTGATCTAAATAAAACAGATCTTTAAAAAAGTAGTCCCAGAAGCTTAAGATGAAGAAAATATATTGGTACAAGAAATATGACTACATATAGGATTGCGTGAATTTCTGGGACTTAAAATGAAGAAAATGTACTGGTACACCAAGAAAAGAGACTACATGACTGTCCAAATGACCTTGCATCGAATCTAAATATCATAAAAGACCTGAAACATTTGTGAAGAATTTTACTAACTGATCTTAATTATGCAGAGGAATCTCTTTTAAATAAAGCAGTTCCAGAAGCGCACAAAAATGCTGACAACATCATTTTAAAATATTTTATTATTATATTATAATAGAGCAACTTATGATTAATTCATGAGATAGTATTAGTTTGATCTTTTTTCTTCTTATTTTCAAAATATAATAAAAACTGAGCATATAGCGATAAAATAAGAAAAACAAGCTAAATATAAGTGGTTTAGGAAAAAAATTTAGTGAGTAAACTCATCAATATTGTAAAAAAATTTATAATAAATGATTCAGCTATAATAATACTGTCCAAAATAAATCATTCTATTAATTAATTAAAAATAACTGCCGTGTTAAAAAATACCAACTGTTTATATAGCAATTTTATTTTTAGTTAATACTGATAAACACTGATTCATCAATAGGTTTTGAAACTTTGGATGCTTACTGTATACCACAGGTAATTTAAACAGCCGAACTACATTAGGACAATAATATAAAGGAAATATATAATCTATGATGGGCGGAAATGACTTTGGACGTTTCCAAATGCAGACAAAAAAAGAATAAAAACAAGAAGCCAAGCGAACTTTGAGTGTTGCTATACTAACTAAAAATTTCAAAACTCGCTGACAATTTGTTCTCCCTTTCCCTTCTTTACAAATACACTTTGCTGAAATATTTTTATACTTAGAATACGTTTTAAGACATCATTATTTCGGAAATTATTCTAACATTAATCACAGCTCACAATATGCTCTACTTACAAATTACTCTACAGGGCGATTATTTCAAACGCAAAATAGACATTATGTACAGTGTGGAATGTTTGAAAATCAGGTTTCTAATATTGCAAAATTTGCAACATAGCATTCAAAATTGCGCAGAAATAATATAGCTATAGGGACCATAATCTGAAGAGAAAATCCATACATTTAATTTGGTATCATTTTCCTTTACAAGTGATAACAAGGAAAAAACTGTTATTATTTGTTGTTAAACAAAGAAATATGTTGTTTATACATATTTACTACTAGTAATAGGTATCCTATATATTTTTGGAGATACACTTCCATGATATTAAATAAGAGTCAGAACTAAACAGGAAGATAAATTGAGGTGTAATTGGGTGTACATTCTAAGGAAGTTTCAAATTTGATATAAAATCCACAAATTGTGGATAAATATCAAATTTATGAGAAATATCAAGATTATATGGCATCAACAATGTTATCTACTATATTTGATGGGAATTAATCACAACTTCAATTAAAAATACGTTTATTTTGACGTTTGAAGTTCCACTTTGCAAATGTCTCTCAAAATTTCCTAAGTAGAAATGTAATCATCAAAATAAACATATTAGCATAAACAGAAAATAGTTTCAGAAGAACGTTTTTACAACTTTTGGCAGAAAAGAAACTGACAGGTACTTTTTACATGCCTCATTCGCCAGTTAAATAAATATTTAGCAGCAGACGAGTTAAATACGAAGCTGATTAATAAATAAATCGTAAAATAATCGCCCTGTAATTCATTATTTGGCACAAGTCAGCCAAATTCTACATGACTACGAATAAAATACAGCTGAAAAAGCTCTGACAATTGGATGTCTTGTTAGAACTGAATGTCAACTTCTGTCTTATTTTGGAAACGTCAAGTTGATGTGTATTAAACAACGCTTGTTGCGAGGTAAGTTGGTCTGGCAACGTCGCTTGGTGTCTTCGCACATCGCGTATCCAATCAATTTTCCCTTTTCAACATTCTGGGGAAAACTTTTCAAAAAGACGATCCATTTATCAGAATATAGGATATTCTCCTCGCTATAGACCATTTACATCAAGAATATATTTAATACATTATTACACTGATTATATATTAATCGGGCAGCATGTGTACGAAGCTGATAGGAAACATTCCTGTTCTATCTGGTTCATTTTCCACCATTCCTTCCATCCAGTTATCATCGTCTGTGTGCTCATTGATGACTATAATTATTTCCCCTTCCTGGAATGACAGTTCATCATCATTATCAGCTGCGCAGTCGTACAAAGCTTTGCATCTTCGGAGTCCAGTGTTGCCATTTGAAGCGTACGACAGTCTCCCGCTGGGAATAGACCTCGGCGAGCACAAGGAACTGGTTGATATTGGACTAGATGAAATTCTATGCGGTGGAGAATCAGATGCCTAGAAATTAATCACTATGTTATTACATAAAAAAATATTCGGTATTAAAACTAATAAAAATGATAATGAAATGATTTGATCGTAGAATCCCAATGTAAATCTATTTAGTAACTTGTTATCTAGTTCGTATTTGTATCAAACGTATGGCTTATTTTCTTACTACCTATTTCTTACATAACTAGGAATTTAGGGTGATTAGGTATTGCATGGAACAAATCTAAATCTGGTGACTGAAGTTCAGTATTTTGGGGTAATACCAGACTCGCGAGGCTTACTTGAAATAAGCCGATAGAACGGATAACCAAGGGAGGGTCATTGCTTTAATGATAGCTAGTCGCATTCATGGAAAAATGTGGGTTTAAAAGCAGACAAACCAACAATAATGTATGTTGGTTTGTATGCATGAGCGGTATGGTGGCCAGAATTAGCAAAAAGTTTCTTTCTTAAATTAAGAACGTGCAAAGTCTTGCCTTAGAATTACAGGAGCCCTGAGAGGCCTTAGAGAGAATAGGACTATGGCATAAGACTTAAAACAGTCAACCATATCTTGTATAATGCTTAGGGACTAGATGACAGACGGCAAACACTTTTAGAAGATAAATATTTATAGACAGTTGCGTTTGTATTTAATTCGATTGCCTTACACGTATTTCAGGGTCTACCTATCATCAGAGAGACTTGTGAGGAAATAGAGCTAATAAAAACGGACCGACCGCGCAATAAATGGAGTGACAAACTGGCATAGAGGTATTAATCCGCCAATGAACAAGCAGAATTGCTTATAAAGAGGAAGAAGACAAAAGGAAGAAGAAGGAAAATCAAAGGTCAAGATTAGTAACAAATTACAAAAAGGAAACTTGACAGAACAAATGCATGAAAATAGGTGTTTAACCATCACTAATTATTTAAAGAAAATCGCCCAACCAAACAATAAAAGTGAATGACTAATGAAATTTTAGATCTTATGGAAGAACAAAGACAATTCCAAAAAAAAAAAAATAGTAAACAGTAAATATGAAGTAAAATACGAAGAGTAAGGGCAGAATGAAGATATTTTTTATGATTTGTATATTTCTTGAAGGCGTTTGACAAAGTTAGACATGTGGAAAAGTAGAATTTGTGGCAGGGAAAATATTCAGAAGAAGACGTCCAGGTCGAAAAACAAAATGGCTTAATAAATAAACTTGAGATATAGTATATATCTAGTAATATAAACTAGTAACAACAAATAATTAAGTGGATAAATAACGTTAGTATATTTTGTTGTAGTGAGCTCATGAGATTGCGATCCTTGTTTATATTTTATGTCTAAACGGAATATGGCTTTATATATAAAATTTAAATTAATTACTAATAAAAATTGAACCAACCGAAGTATTATTACATTGGAAATCACATTGTGACTTTGCAGGAGCAACTATCAAGGAATTATCAGGTGATAGTTGTACATACAACTGAGCTAACATTAAAAGCTTGTCAAAACTAAAAACTATAATTAAACATAAGATTTCAATAAAGTTGTTTAAAGAGAAGTACATTTTAAACTTAAAAGAATCACTAAAGCTGAACACTAAAGATTGATTTGCAAAAAAACCGAAAATAACGCTATATTTTGAAATGCATAGGACACTTAAATCTTGTTTAATGAAAAATAAACTGTATTTAAAGTGATGAAATCCATACCCTTAATATAAAACTATTAAACAAAGTTTGTAACTTCTTACTCTTGTAGACTTTTAGTTTTCTTCAGTTAGCTTCCGCTTAACTGGATTAGCATGCTAATCCAGTTCTGTCAAGAAGAAAAATTAGTCATTGCGAATACTTGGTACAAACTGCTACCCCGAAGATTCTACACCTGGCAGTCTCCACAACATAGGCATGACAACATCGTAGAAATCAAATTGATTTTTTATTGATTAACCAGAGATACAGAAGTGGATTGCAAGGAGTAAAAACGTACCCTGGAACAGATATCGGATGTGATCACAATCCCGTAGTAGGAACATTGAAAATTAAGCTTAAGAAAATTAAAAGAAAATCCATAAAGACAATATAGACGCCTTAGTAGATCTTTTTAATGACAGGTCCTAAAACTTTTCTTAAAAATAATTCACACAAGAATATACAACACATGTGAAAGAGACATTAGCCCCACACAGTTCGGTTTCAGACAAGGATTTGGCACAAGAGAAGCACTTTATAGCTTAACTGTCCTACTTCAGAAATACAAACAAAAACATGTCTTCCTATGGTTTATAGATTACCAAAAAGCGTTCGATTGTGTTATTCATTTAGAATAAGTAAGATTGCTCCAGGAACGTTCGATAGATGAGAATGACCTTAAAATCATAAAGAACCTTTACATGAATCAAGTGGCATCTGTGAGAGTAGGACTGGAATCTACATCATATTTCTCAATCGAAAAAAGGTGTACGACAGGGTTGAGTTCTGTCACCCCTCTTTTTTAATTTTTACTCTGAAACGATTTTCGATAGAGCCTTAAATGACACTGAAGATGGAATCAAAATCAAAGGACAGACTATTAGTAATCTTCGCTATGCTGATGATACAGTCATAATAGCTGAAGCCAAGAAGCGCTACAACGACTAATAGATAGAATAAACACTGAAGAAGAACGACTGGGGAGAAAAATGGGCAGAGAACGAGAATTGCTGCCAATAATAAAAAGAAGAAAAACGGCTTATCTGGGTCATATATTTCGAAATTCCAAATACCAGTTCTTAAAGCTTATTATGAAAGCAAGATAGAAGGAAAACGAGGCATCGAAGAAAGAAATACTCATGGCTTAAAACAAAAGTGATTGGATAAAACCTCGATGCCCATGCACTCTTTAGAGCCACACAAGATCGAGAGGAGTATGCCAGAATTTTCGCCAACATCCACTAATTTAATAGAGCACAATAAGAAGAAGATTAACGTACATTTAAGTTTAAAATGAATATAGGAATAGAAAATGTAATGTAATGGATTTGATACCAAAAAGGTCAAGGTAGGATAACAATGAAATACACTCTGAAAACTTCTTTCTCCCCACTTTAAGATATGCTTTAGCTCAGATCATTATGGCGTACACTGCAGAAACAAAGTCACAAGTAGAAGAAACCAAATACATAATAGAAACAACAGAGATGAAAATAGCCAACACTTTGTATGGAAAGAAGAAATGTATGCAACGGGGGAACATTTTTATTAAAGGAGTTGTGTGTGGGAATCATCAATAGGAAGAAGAGGAATTGAGTGTTATAATACAGCCGTTCAACTGCTTAGAAGCTGCCGAAGACTGAACATGCACTTTGCAAAATTAAGCAGAATCAAAACGAAGCTTTGGGTGGAAAAATTTTTATTTATTATTCATATTTTGTTATATTTTTTAAATTCATTCTGTTTACTTTAGTCTTCGTGTAGTCATAATTTTGCATTTAACTTTATATTAAGAGTATAGTTTTTATACATTTAAATATATATAAAAAATGGTTCTATTGTTATAAAAAAATAAGTTTACTATCTTTAGAAGATAGCAGTAACAAAATGGAAACAAAAAAAAGTATCATTCCTTTAGTTATATTAGTAAGGAAAAAGGATAGAACAATCAAAAAAACACACACAAAGCTAGAAAATTAATAAAGGTGTTAAACCCCAGTGATACAAAAAGCATTTTACCAGACTAGAAACATCATTATCTTCAGTAAGACTTTCCACATGACACTTGCGTTTCTGCAAACCATACAGGCACAAGATACAAAAATGGTGATAATTTAAAATTAGAATTTGATGGAGGTGAGTGATAAAACTGTGATGAAGGGTGAAAAATATGACACATATCTTTAGGTTTTTAAAAGAAACTCGTTTTAATTTCACTACGGGTGTATTTCAACATAAAAAGCATTGTTTTTAGGATATTATTTCAGCTAATTTGGTATTTTTTAAACATATTACATAACTGGTAGGTTTTTAAACTTTGACAAATATAACTTTAATTGGAAAATACAGGGAATTAAATAAAAAGATCGTTTTGGAGTAATAAGAAAAGGAAACACAAAGATATACATAAACTTGGTCTATCCTATACGTCTATCGTTCTCCATTTTGATTGCCTTATGTACAAAATTCGCAACCATATGTCAGCAGTGAAAATATTAAGAAGTTCACCTATCTCATTTTTAGGGTTTTTGAAATATTCGTGTCTTCCCATATTTTGGGCATCTTTCTTACAGCGATTTTGGCTAGATCACATCTAAGTTCTATCTCCTCCTGGAGTGTCCCTATATTTGGGGTCAATGATTCAATTTTGGGTATATGTGGATCATTGTTGTCTTGCATATCCACTATCATTTTGGTCTAATTAAAATAAAATAAATTTGATTTCTGACTAGTCCATCTGAAAGGTTAGATTTTATTGCATGCAGAGCTCCAAAAGACAGTCTCCCTTTTCGTGACTTTGTCCCAGTCTAAAATTTCCATTATGGTTTGCAGTACTTTTATCAGATTTTCCTACTTTGATACTAAAATATCCCAAGGTGACGACTAAGACATATTCATCTTGTGTAACAGATTTGAGTGTATACCTGAATAATATGTAAAACAGCTGTAGATCATGGCAATTTTAAATATGTATATTAATAACTCATTAACTTTGTAGTATCCAATTACTGATTCACTTAATTTTGGAGGAACAATTATTGCAAATTGCAATTCAAACCACGCCTTGCTGATGTCCTTCAGATACTTGTGATGGTGGACATCTACAGCATACCTATCCGTATTTTCTCTAATTATCATTCCAATCGAGTTTCCGACGGTTCGAGAAATCTTCGAAAGAGTGTAAGAAAGCTTGATCTTTCCCTTTTTTCATCCACTTTCTAATTCCTAACTAACCCGTTTGTGACTGTGGAGTTATTCAGAGATAGTGTTTTATTCCTATTTATTGGTGATTCAGTTCCTCATCTATTCCTAGTTTTGGTCCAATTTTTGCCAACTTACAGGCAATAATGAGGAGTGAAGTGATTTTTAGTAGAGATCTTCCTGACAGCTGACTGAACATGTCCTTCACAAGTTCCGTTTTCTCCTTGCTTACCATTCAAAATTCTTACGCACCAGGTTGTGCATAGTGAGCAATGTCATTATCAAGGGTTCACACAGACTTGTCATCATTATCTTTGGCTCTACAACCCTGGGTGG